GGACCTCCCCCACCACGCCAGGGAACACGAATCAGATGTGGCCCGGAGGCCCCTGCCCCAGGAGATGCATTCACCTGTCCGTTAGCGGGGAAGGTCACGCCCACGGCTGGCTGAGTGCACCCAGGCTTATTCTGACCACACATCGGCACATTTATTTTTCAGTTTGAATAGTTGGCCATGTTTAAACATCTCCAGCTTATCTTTTTTTCCGTTAAATATTTCTTTGGGGGAGGGACACCATTCTTCTATTCAAGTGAAAACAACATTTTGAACAGAACAAAGGTCTTTTGATTCTTTACACCTGTCATGCCATGAGCTCCCAGGTAGGGGGCTCCCTCGGCCCAGGCTCCGCTGTGTTGGTTCTCACCGGGAGCTGCTCTGGGCGGAGCAGCTACCTCAGTTGAGCCCAGGCACCTTTCTGTTTGGCTTCCTTCTCGTTCTGAACATTTTCCTTTACGTTTCAGGAAGCTCTCTCGCTCTTGGAGGCTTGATATGCTCAACTCCTACTTTCATTCTCTTGCCCTTGTTTGTTTGCAATGCCCACGCTTGCTGGGTGACGCTGCAGCCCTTCCGTTTGCCCTGGGAACATCCGTGGGGCATCCTTTTTGAACAGTGCCCTTGAAGGCAGCAACATCGCCTTTCTCGTAGATTCGCACATATGTGGTTCAAGGAACAACTTCGTGTTTTCCAAGAGAACGTGTAGCAGGGCCTGTCTTTCCCTTTGTGTTAGTCTTTTTGGCGAATTACGGGAAGATGGCAGTTCCGGTGGGAAGCCCTGCTTGTCTTGAACTTGAGCCCACCCAGGGCCCAGGGTGTCACATGGATGGCCCCAAGGGCAGATGGGGGGAACCTGGTCTGGTGATGGGAGAGCTGAGGAAGAGGTCAGAGGGAGGTGAGTGCTGGGCACTAACCCTGCTGACCTGTCCCTCCACAGGGCCTGGTGGTGGCCGTCCTCTACTGCTTCCTCAACGGGGAGGTGAGTGCTCGGGCTGCTTAGCACCTGGAGGGGCTCCCAGTCACTGGATTCCAGGTTAGAGTGAGCTGCCTGGAAAGGGTGGTGTGGGCAGGGCAGGCCGTGGTGTCCGGACTTGGGCCTGTCTTCACAGAGTCTGAGTCACTTCATGGGAGCAACAGAATCACCTGGAAGGCTTGGTAAACAATTGCTGGGCCCTACCCCCAGTTTCCAGTCAGCAAAAATGGCCTGGGTTGGAGCCTGGGACGCTTTTAACAAGCTTTACAGCGGATGCTTATCCTGGGAAAGTCAGGAAATGGAGGAGAGTGCAGGCACACCCCACCCCCCGAAGCCAGGCTCCTGGCTGGACAGTGACCTGTCACTGCCTCACTCTGAGCTTCAGTCTTCCCATCTGTAAAATGAGTAACTAAAATGACACTTCCGCCAACTCACAGGCTCCCAGTGGCCATTGACTCCTTGGTGCCTGGTCGCTTGCCTTGAGGCCTGTGCCCTGACCCAGCATTTGGGTCAGGACATGAGGTTCCTGGCACAGAAGCTGGGTAATCACTAGTGAACACGGCATGGCACGTGAGTCAGGCCTTTCTGTGACTGCTGGCCATCTGTCTGCTTCGCACACTCTAATGGGGATAACTTCTGGCGTTTCCCAGAATGAGCCAAGCCCAGCCTCAAAGATGCGGCTGCTACAGCGGGGTCATGGGGAAATTTCCAGAGCAGCTCTCTGGCCCTCAGATTAGCTGAGCTAGGGTGGCCTCCTGGGAACGTGTCCCGTTGTCCCATGGGATGATGTGGATGTTGGTGTCCTGGAGCTAGTGTGACAACGACAAGCCCTTCAGGACATTTGTAGTGAGATGGCAGGTGATCGTGCCCAGGGAAGGGCCCTCAGTACCCCATGGACATCGGGGTTGGAGCTGGTCAATTCGAGTGGCCTGCAGGTGGGGAGGCATGACTCCTGGGCAGGAGTGGCAGGACCGTGCAGAGGCCCCAGGGGTGAGCAGGACTCTAGGCCCCGGGCCCTTCTTGCTGTTCCCTCCTGGGCTGACGGCTGGTCTCCGGGACAGGTGCAGCTGGAGGTTCAGAAGAAGTGGCGGCAGTGGCACCTGCGTGAGCGTCCACTGCGCCCCATGCCCCTCAGCAACTCCTCTAGCGTCGGCACCAGCAGCCTCACCCACAGCACCAAGGCCAGCCCCTCGGAGCCGAGCCGGGGCACCTGCAGGGCCAGCGTCATCTGAGAGGTTGGAGCAGGGCCACCGTGGACATAGGCCACGCTGGGTCCTGAGAGAGCAGGACACTGCTTCGGGACAGCCCACCTCCCCCCAGGCAGCATAGGCTTTCTCCTGCGACTAGTGACCTCTTCTCCAGGCCCTGGTTGGAGGGTGAGAGTCCCTCAGAACTCAACAGAAGGAACCTGGGCAGCATGGGACAGGGAGTGGGAGAGCAGCTCAGGGGTCTGAGAAGGGAGGAGGAAAATAAATGGGAACTGAGGTGAGATTTGGTGTGGTCAGTCTCCTTGTCCTTGATACAGGTGAGGGAGGATGCTCTGGTCCACTCCCTACTGCTTCCTGGAGGAGGGGCTTCCCTGGTCCCCTGCTCATTTTCAGGGACAAACTTAGAAGCGCTGGAAACATGAGATATCAAAGTGGGACCACAACATTAGTAACAAAGAAACAGAATTTCTGGAGGATGAGGCCCAGAAATCAGGATTTTAAAAAGATTCCCAGGTGATTCTAATGTGCAGCCAAGGTTGAGAACCACTGACCTAGAGCCTTCAAGATGACTGAATTAATCTAAGCAAGTCCCAGGGGAGGCCAGGACAGCCCCAGGACCCAGCTCCCCTTTAGTAGCCCTGACATGGTCTGAGGCATCCCTCCGCCTTACTGCCCTGTCAGTCAGTTATCCTGGGCCCCCAAGGCAGGGAGAGCAGGAGAGGGGGCATTATACCATTCGATAGAAGTGAAGCAGGTTCAACCAGGCCCTGTGACTTGCCCAAGCTACTAGGCCAGGAGGGGGCAGAAGCCCAGTCCAGGGCTTTAGGTCTCAAGTCCCCATGCTCCAAGGCTGTCTCCCCCTCCCATTGGGGATTTTAGTCTCACCCTTTCCTCTCTGGATTTCAGTTCCCTTGACTAACAACACTCCCTTGCCACCAGCCTTGTGAGGATTAAAGAGTGCTCAATATTTAAATCCGTTTACAAAACAAAAACTACCAGTGCTCTTTGGCCCATGCATCTGGACAGAGTGGAGACCCCGCCCCCCACTGTAGAAAAAGAGCATCTTGCTGGTGAGTGGTCCAGCTCTAGTCCTGGCCCTGGGTGGCCCTGGGTGAGTGCTATCCCTCTTTGGCCCTGGCCCCCACCTCTGCACCTCTGCAGAGACAAGGTCACCTTTTGCCCCTTGAAGACTGCTCCTGGTGAAAGGCCAGGTGCCCACTTCCAGGGCTAAGAACCCAGCCTACGCGGTTGATGAGCTCTGCCCTCCAATTACCGATTGGTCCACAGTACCTTTCTGGAGCCATCTCCACAGACTGTGCATTTTGGAATAAAAGTTTTTAAAAAACATAAGAGGTAGGTACAAGCACTCAGCCCAGCCCAGGAAGGGAAACTGAGTGACCAAAACTCATACACCCAGTGGCTGGCAGAGTGAGCCAGGGCAGGCCAGACTTCATTCGGTAGGGGAGCGGGAGGGCTGGGGTGGATGAAGTGGGCTGAGGGCACAAAGGCACTGGAAAGGGGGCCATTGAATGCCCCAAACACTGATCTGCTGGTGAGATGGAAGTCTTCACTGGTTCCTGGTCCCCTTCACCTGCGAGCATCTTCAGTTTAACCATCACCCAGGGTCCAGCAGCTGCTCTCTGAGTGTGTTCTGGGATCAGAGACGGTGCACCTCAGGCTGCCTGGTCCTTGCCAAAGCCGGGCACGCACACCTGCCTCAGGGAGCGAGCGCTGCGCATTAGAAGTCAGGTGGACCTTTCTGGAAGGCTTGCTCCAAACTCTACTCAAAGAGATCAGGCAGGAATCCCACAGGCAGAGCCCCCAGAGGAGACAACCAGCTGCTGGAAGTGGGGGTTAGAATCCCCAATGGGAGGGATTATAGAGTTCCCCAAAGGGCAGGGGTCGAATCAAGTAAAATGGTTTGAAAAACTACCAGGTGCAAGAAATTCTGAGGGAAGCCTGAATTCTGCCTCCCTGGCATGACCAAAGCTAACGCAGAGGCGTGCCCAGAGGCCGCCTGAGTTGGTGGAAGGAAGTCCTGGGCTCGGCTGGACACCCTTAGCGGGAAGGCGATCCACTCTGAGCCACCGCGGAGGCCCCAGGGCCCCTGCAGCTGGTCTCCCAGCACAGAGCCGGAAGCAGGTGTGAACAGCACCTGGCTGCACAGCCAGCCCAGGCACCAGCTACCTGAGCTGCTTCCGCATCGATTCCCGTCCTGGGAAGGAGGATTCGAGAAAAGGATTTTACAATGTGTCCTACAATCTACATGCTAGTAACTTGGCTACACTTGTGCAGTTGGTGGCCTGGAGGCACGCTCCTGGCCTCTGGCCCGGGGCACAGGGCCCTGGGCCATTTCTGGCTGACCCCCCCCAAAGGTTACTGGGTAAGAGGCAGCAGTTCCAAGGTCATTGTCCCACCCCTACCCCCACCAGAAGTCACGACTTGACCACTTTGTTGTGGAACCCAATGTCCTTGGAGGAGGGCCTAAAATTCCCTCAGCTGGCCCCAGGGGTGGCTGATGCTGTTGACGTGAAGGCCGCTGATGGCGTTCAGGAAGAGGAGGAAGGAGGCAGTGAACTGGCACCAGAACATGAGGGTGAAGCCGGTGAGCATGACCTGGTTCCTGAGGAGGATCACAAAGCTCAGGAGCCCCGCAGAGGAGAGGGCAAACGAGACGAGGAGCAGGACGCAGCCCAGGGCCCACTTGCGCCGTGAGTGGAGGTCCTCGCACACCTGGGACACCATGAGGAGCTCCAGGCCAAAAATGGCAGCCACCACGGCCAAGGCGCCCATGCTGCGGGCCAGCACCATGCCCTCAGCCAGCCCTGGCACGCGGGCCCGACTCAGGTCTCTGAGGCAGTGTGGCCCAGTTTGGTTGGAGCTGGTGCAGAAGTGCCATAGCCCGAAGAGGCGGTCCCCAGCCAGGAGCCAGTGACCGTCACAGATGGAGACAGAGGAGAGGACCACGGCCAGCGCAGCACACACGATGATGAGGGTCCGGATGAAGGATTCGAAGAAGGACCGGCGGGGCCTCCGTTGGCCCAGCAGCCTCTGGGCCTGGAAGATACACAGAGGTGGCATGTCAGGGAGGGCCCCGCCACCCCTCCAACCTGTGCAGGGAAGACCCTGACCACGCCTCCACTTCCCACAGCCATGACTTCTGCTCCGCCCCCACGAAGCCTGGAATATGGCCCTTACTCAGCCTCCTGCCCAGCTCCTCCTTCTCGGGGGACCTTTCCCCTTCTACCTGTTCCCCGTTCTCCATCTGAGACCTACACGCATTGTCCAGTCATTTACCAGGCCCGAAGGGTTCCCTGACTTTTCTTCAATGATCTTCATGAGGAAGGAATCCAAATTCTATTGGCTGGCGAATCCTACTCCCTTCTGAATTTGGAAAACCTGTCTGGCCTGGCTAGTGTGACCTTGAGCTTGCAGCTGGCCTGCGTTTCTTTATAAGCAAAACAAGAAAACTGCCTGGAAGGCTGAGGTTGTAAAATAAGTGGAACATAATCCACGGCCGTTTCCTCTCTCACCAGGACTCCCCCAGTACAGGTCCAGTTTCCTCCTAACCCCCACCCGCCGCTTCTGCCCTTTCCACACTCTGCCCCGGCCGCCGTCCCATTAACTTTTTCCTCAGTGCTGACGGTGATGTTTGCACCTTGCCCTTCAGTCTTGCTCAGCCCCTCCCTGGACTTGCCAACCAGACTTTCTGTTCTAGCAGCTTCTGGGGGGTGGGGGGGGGGAGCCCCTGAGGCTCTTCTTTAGCCTCTGGTTTCGGCACAGGTGTCTGCCCCCCACCCCCATCCCCCGCCCAACCTCTCTGACAAGCTGAGCCAGGTACCCAGTGAGGTGTTCCTTATCTCACATCCCTGAGACACCACCCAGTGCCATTCCCAACCACCAGCCCAGGAAGCCAAAGAAGCACTTCAGAGTACATTCCTTACCCAGCACCCAGCGCTGCAGATCCGCCCTGTCTCCCTCTCCAGCTTCGCCCCCGTGGTCTCCCCCTGGCCACCTCACTCAGGCACAGCAGCTCTCCCTCCAGGCCTAGGCCACGCCTAGCACTTTCTTCCCTCAGACCTACTGGCCCTCCACCTGAAAGGATCTGCTCCAGTCGCCCCCTTTCTCCGCTCTTCAAAAATGTCAGACACGTCTTTTCTGCCTGCCGGGTCCCCTCCTGAAACTTCCCATCAGGCATCTGTTTTCTCCACCGGTCTGATCACAAGTTATCCATTCCCTTCTGACTTGTATTACATATTATCTACCTTCCCGTGAGAAACTATGTCCCCAGTACCCGGCACACTGGGTGTGCAAGAAGAGCCCTGGGATAAGTGAACGGTCAAGTGTGCCACCACTGTCACTTCCACCTGAATCTGCCTTTAAACTCAGGTCTCCCTCCAGCCAGTGTATGTCAAAGCAGCCCAGGTTACACACCCCTTGGGGAGGTAAGCAAAGCAAGACAGCTCATGGCAGCCGATGCTGGGGAACTGAACGGGGCAGTGGAGACACCCTGCACCAGGTGCAAAGGGAGGCTTCCAGAAGCAAGTCCAGGCCACAACCTCTCAGCGAGGGACATCTAGCAAAGCCACGCTCCTGGCACAGTCCTGTGGGTAGAGACCTAGAAGACCATCAGGCTGGCTGCTAACTTGCAGAGGTGAGCAGGAGCTACTGCTAAGTTCAGTCCCAGGGTTACATGAAGAAGGACCTCGTTTGCTTTCTGCACTTCTGCTTCGGCAGGGTCCTATTTTACTCCTAAACCTGTGAGGCTGGTAGGGTAGGAAGCTCCATGCAAGGAAAGAAACTGTCATGCAGAGGTCAGGTGACTTGCCCAAGCTCACGCACCTAAATCACCATAGAGCCTGTCACAGCTGCCGACGACTGATGGGGTGCAGAGGATGAGGTGCTCGTAAGCACCAGCTGGGGCCTTCCCAGCGCAGGGCCTTGTGTTAGGGGCTCAGCAGAGAGTGCGGAGGGGGACCCAAGCTGTCAGGACAAAGGCAGCCTTGGGGCAGCATAGAGCTCCCAGGCAGGAGCCTGGGCTGTGGTTCTCAAACTGTGTCCCCCTGCTTCTGATGGGGGCTTCCAGGGGAGTAGGGGAAGCTGCCTCCGGGCCCTTCCTCCCTCCAACTAACAGATCCATTACGGGCTGGAGACTGTGGGGATCCGGGGGTTCATATTGGGGAGCTTTAGAAAAACCGGCTGTGCTGCTAAGAAACAAACCAAGGAAACTGAAACCTCTGTCTACAAACTGGTCAGGGTGCTTGTCCTTGGGCCTTTCTTAAC